GGAATACTATTAGGTGGCCCAGATCAAACGTGATTTTTTCCAAACACACAAACGGGTATTTGTCTAGCAAAAGTTTGATGCAGTAATGTCCCCCCGTGTACCTGAAGAAGAATTCGAAGCGATTTCCAGATCTTCGAATGTTTTTCTTTATGCGGTGGCCTACCTCGCACCCAGGTTATTGAAATTACAGAATTTCGCGCGCGCAGGAAAGATTACCTGGGTATGAGCATATAACGTTTACGTAAGGTCTCAAACTTCGGCGAGGGTAAGACATCCTAATGACGAATTGACTAGGGTAGTTTAATGGGGGACAAACCTTACCTTCGGCCACATCGAATCCCTGAAATTTCACCGGCTGAGCGTAATTGACAAAAGAGGACAGCAGCGGGTGAATGCTACTCGTGGCTGCGATGTGATGATACTGAGCCATCATCATCTGCTCTTCTTCCGCGGTCAAATTGCCCTGAGAAACAAGAAATCGAAATGTGGCAGATCGGATATGAGATAAAGCAAACGTGCACGACCTCTACTGTGCGTGTATGATAGAGGTGAACAGTTCCGTAAGCATAAAAATACGTTTTTTATTGCTGATAAACAACATGAAATGCCAACAACAAACAGCACATGATTGAACCGAAACGACGCAGTCTTCGGTGCACCGAGAGTTTTCTTCGGTATTCATTAACTTAAATGCAATTCACATACGATTTGGTCGTTTTTACCTGTCAGCACATCAAATTGACCGGCGATCGGCTATCAAAAATGCCAGGTCTAAATGTGCAAACTTCCGCTGGTATAAGTAAGGAGTATGAAATCTAACGAACTTTATCCAGACAATAAACGGGTGATCATTCTCATACGGTAGCACTAAAAATGAGAACAGATGTAATAAATAATATAACGAGAACCATGAACTATCCACATATCAGGGTACTTCGTGGGTGTTTACAGTTGTAACTGAAGTATACGCATATAAGGTTACACAAGTTATACAAAAAAATACAAACCATATGTCTGAGTGTGACTGGAAGACCGAAATCAGATTTTCAGCAACCGACCGACCATTGATTGCATCGTTCTACCTTAGTGTAATTCAATCATGACCTATTGCAAGATTTGATTCTGGACTACAGTGAAACAGATGCAAGATAAATTGTGGATAGCTTGACACAAAAACTGGAGTACACAATAATAAGCATGTCGGATATGGGTCAAATCTCTTATGAAACACGAACGTCATCTGACGGTCTGTTTGCTCGATCCATTGCTGCAGTCCCACAAGCGGTTTGTCGTAACACGACCATGACCCAGAATCATGAGTGGGACTGGCCTTTTTCATGACCTTATGTGCCAAACCAGAAATAGCTGATTACGATCGTACGCACACACTTATGTGCCCAATAATGGTTAATATCAGAGATATAACACTCGCTTTTTCAAAAAAATACAATTTCAAAGACACCAGCCCACTCGCCCACATTTCACAACTCGGAACCAACATTGTAGTTTTTCGTGTTTGCACGACGGTACTAGCCGGGTGACAGAGTGCTCGACGTATGGATGCTGTTTGTGAGGAAAACCTGACGACCGAAATCAACATAGCCGAATAGGTGCGAGGTGATCATCGGAAAGGCAACTCAAAGCCAATCAAAAGACTCATGATCAAGCAAGATAAAAAGGACACAAAAAGTGCTCGGCTCTCTTACAACACACTGGTATATGAAACGTGTCCTTATAATGGGAAGAAGGACTTACTAAGGAAGCAACTAACTCAATCAGTTAAAAAAGCAAAACGNCTTGGTTAGAGTGGGATACATAAATGGACGAATAATGAGATCACCCTCAATCCGAGTGACGATCGAGTGATGTTTACCGAACACAATGGTCCATGATCGGCCACATTTAGCAATCCATTTTTGATGCGCTCGCACAGAAAGCTTGCATATCATGTGACTACACATTAAACCCCAATTCGGGATTCAACCAAAAGTACCATTCCACTAGTGCTACGATGGTGCTAATTTCTTGAAGTGAATTACACCATGCATGCCCCGGGCTGTATATGTACAGAGTAAATCGAGAAATAATTTTTTACCAGTCATTGCACGCTATCCAACGCATGTCATCTGTTTTGAATCATCGACAATGAGAATTATAACTTATCCGAACTAGAAGGGCATTCGATAACGAAGATAAACAGACGTGAGAGTAAACTAGAGATGCCATAAATCTATCGAGTAATCAGAACTTCCGAGGGGTTGAAAAGAGCGAGAACAATCAAGGGGATGATTAGTTGCACAGCGACATGGACATGATTGCTAGTGATGTCGAATAGAAAATCACGGTCGAACCAAAACAAACACTTACCTCCTCCTGCATGCAGCGTTCGGCGTGAGAACACACAAACATGCGCAATTTGCACGGACCACCAGCACAAGCGGTCGGTACCGATGGGATCGGCCACAGGAATCCGGTGACATGCAGAAACCAAAAGAACACAAACGGGATTGTATACGTGGGGACAATGGTCGTCAGTAGGACGTGCCACCGATTCATCCACGTACATATACAAACGTTTGCATATTCCGGGAATGATGGTGGCGACAGGCCGGACAGGTTAGTATTTTGTGTGGAAGAGGGAGGGAAGCGCAGTCACACATGCAGGTTGGCGCACAGGCAATCGCGGTGGACAAGGGCGATGGGATATGGATCATGAAAAAATGAGTGGGTAAAATGTAGAATTATGTAATGATACATGTCAGGGAAAAAAATCAAACATGGTTATAAACAGTCGATAGTGTAGTTGGGGCAGTTTCTGAATTCACACACTTAAGATATTGTCAGAAAAAAACACAGATGACAGGCGTGCCAGAAGTGGACAAACTGCTTACAATTGGCATCGAACTTGGGCGAGAAAACGCATTATTAAACTGCAATTTAATCCTCAACACATTGATTTCTCTCGAAACAGAGCGGAGAAAAACGACTCAACTTAGCTAGGTAAAACTCGTGTTTCTCGGTGAAAAAATAACCGTCGAAAAACAGCTTCACTAATATTTGAACCTATAACATAAGTGGGATATTGTGACGAAACCGTGTGTGTGTACTTGTATTGGTCCAAGCTACTTGTCATGCCGATATTGCAAACTACAAGTAAAGACTTTGCGAAAGCCAGAGAAACAAAAAGACGAGGTGCTTGTGTTTAGTTCGAAGTGAACACATGGCTCGAGAACAACAAAAACTCAATTGTTTTGCTCCTAACAAACCGCATGGAAAATTGGGCAGACGGGTTTGTCTGGAGCGTTAAAGTGAAAGAGATAACATGAGTTCCGGTATTGCACTCTTTAAAACGACTAGTGTAAGTGGAATTACATATATCGCATCTAAAGACTATTAGGTTAAAACGCTAATTTCTAAGCGTTTCTCAGATAACAATATTACGTATATTCCAAATTGAAACTTCAGTTTCTTAATGGGAATTCAACTCCATAGTCAACCAGACTGAACAAAGCAGTCTGTAGAACATCTGCGAAGGAAAAATTGCAAAGGTGGATACAGACCAAACTTATAACAGTCTACTGGGGACGGTTGAAGGTAGCTAAACTGGACATAGGACCTACCGTTACATAAGATTAGACGACAGAATCCTTGGAAGATTGACAAATACTACTCAGATACTTCATCTATCAATAAACAGTTTCATAATGCAGCCCTACCGATAACATCGATGGCCGCACAAATGTCTAAGAACACAATAGAAAACGACAGAAAAGGAACTAACTCCAGAAGGATATTCATCTTTTAACGGTGATTCGGAATGACAGATTGAACAAAGCAAGCTGGAGTGAAACACAAAGTTGCACAGGCATTGCAACACGACCGGAAAACGTGAATTTTGTGTACAGTAACTCAGTCGACCTGCGGTTTATGGCCTCGGTTGGTGTTATAACACGAACAAGTGTTGGATTTATTTAGCAATCAATATCAATACCGTATTATGCTTACGGTTCCTGGTAGAGATTGACGAATAGGAAAGGAGAGAGCAGGAACACAAGGAGATTGTGGGACGAAGTTGGAACATCAGGGTGAAGTAATGTTAAGCGTATAAATTTCGCCCTAAAAACTTCCGTTTCCATGAATGCGAAGCTTGACAGTTGGGGCCTCTGAAGAGAAAAATAAATGAATAAGAGCAAAAGTGTTTTCGCGCTGCTACTTCGTAGCAAATGGCCTGATTCGGAAGCGTGTTTAGGACCAGTTAGAGAATGTTAGTCCAAATGTGAACACATTTTTGCTTTCACACACAACCATACGCCAATAACGAACGATCAATTCATACACACACACACACACAACGTGATTGACGGAAGTAGCTTCAATGTGTTTTACCAATATGATCAGGAACAAAAAGTTGTGAATCAGAATAATTCATTTCATAAGGAAAGAGATGACGCTAAGATATACTATGAACTAGGATAAATAAGAACATATTTTAGCTTGTCTAAAGAGTACAATAAATTGGTTTGGGTGCTAAGAATCCCCTTCAATTTGTTTTATGAATGGCGCCACACAATTTCAGTGCGCATGTTGAATGAGGATCAGCTTTCTAAAACGGCTCAGAACACTGGGAAAACGGAAAGGGGACGACAAGGTGTTGATAACAGCACAAATACTGCGTATGCCGATGAGTGTGAATGGTTAAAGATGGGCGAAAAAATACGACAAGCACGCAAGAGATGAGACCAACGCACGATCTCGGCAGAATAAAGAGT